TAGTGCGGCCTTCAGCAGCTCTATCCAAGGCTGCCTGAACAACACCTTCAGATTTCGTATCCAAAGCAGATGTAGCCTCGTCGAGCAGAAGGATCTTCGGGTCACTGACTATAGCGCGCGCGATAGCAATGCGCTGCTTTTGTCCTCCGGAGAGTAGGAAACCGCGCTGACCCACATTGGTCTCGTAGCCTTCAGGAAGGGCTGTGATAAAGTCGTGAGCGTTGGACATCTTCGCTGCGTTTTCAATCAATTCCCTGATTTTTTCCTCGGATTCGTTTTCATACTTCGTGCCGATAAGACCGTGTCGAATGTTGTGGTAAATTGTCGTACCGAAGAGGACAGGTTCCTGGCTCACCAACGATATTTGTTGACGCAGCCAACGAAGGTTAAGAGTCGAAATGTCATGGCCATCCAAGAGAACGGAACCTCCCACAGGGAAATAGAATCGCTCGACCAGCCCAACAACAGTACTCTTTCCCGAGCCCGATGGGCCAACAAGCGCAGTTGTCTTGCCGGCGGGCATGGCCAGGGAAACACCATCCATAACAGTAACTTCCGGACGAGATGGGTAAATGTGCTTGATGTCGCGGAATTCGATATTGCCTTCGAATTGTTCGAGCTTCTCGCCCTCCTCGGAGTAGGGATCCAGGGGAGAGGCACGATCGATAGTCCCATAGATCTTGACGGCTGCGGCAAGAGCATTCGTGAAGGCTTGACCATTGGGGGCGACATTTCCTAGACTAAATGATCCGATCAGGATAGCCATAAGAACAGTCAATACTTGTCCCACGTTAACCTCTCCATCAGTGAGAAAACGAGAACCCATCCAGAAACCAAGGCCGTAGTTGGAAAACATGATACCGAACATGCCACCAATCATAAAGCCGAGAATAATCTGGGTCTTGATACCCCATTTTTCGGCCTCGGCCAAATGAGCCTCGTATTGCTTGGCCAATTTGTCTTGAGTACCGAATGCAGTGGCATTGCGAATTGAGCTGATGACCTCTTCCGCAACAGTTCCGCCGGCACCAGCGCTCTCCAAGGACTTTTTGCTGTACTTGACAATAAAGCGAGAGCCACCTCCCATAGTCATCACAAGGGCAACAATGGTTGAGGTACAAATCAGAGCGAGTTTCCAATATTTGATATAGGCGACAATGAACGCAGTCACGAAGGTTGCAAGGGCCGTTAGTGTGAGTCCAACCTTCTCCGAGATACCGTCTTGGATCAGATTCGTGTCGGCTGTAATGCGAGTTGTAACTTCACCGGCTCCTAATCTATCAAAGTAGCCCATGTTTTGTCTCAAAATAGACTCCAGATAATGTTCCCGAATTTTTTGAGTGATGTGTTCTCCAGTGTAGATGAAGCCGACGGTGGAAATATAGACGGTAACGAACTCGGCAATTCCAAGATACACAAAGTAAAGAACATTCTTGGTTAACTGGTGATAGAAGTCGTGGTACGAGAGTTCGTATAGAGCAATTCCTCTGAATGCCGATGCCAGTGAGCCGAAGAGAATCTAAGAAAGCCCAGGTTAGTTGCAGAGCCAACAAGGAACACCCCACCAAGCTACTTACGGTAAATAGAGGTAGAGCGGCACCTGCCACGATAGCGCAAAGCGCACTGACAAGCATGATCAAGATGTCCATGCGCGAGGCATAGCGAAAGAGAGCGAAAAACGACACATTCACATCCGGCGAATGCAGTTGCTTCTTCAGAATCTCCTTTTCATGCTCGGGGAGGTGCGCGAAAAGCGCATCTGGATCTTCGGATTTGGCTAGAGCGTTGGGACGCGAACCCTTGTCCTTCTCTCCTGCTGGGACCACCGTCGAACTAGATATGGAAGAACGGCCGGCCGACTTGCGATGTTCGGCTGAGGATGCGCTTCCCCGTTCCATCAACTCGATATCAGTGTTCTCGGCCTTGTCCCCAGGAAGGCGCTCATTTTCTGGGAGACCCATCTTTGCTCTTTTGATGACACGCAGAAATGTGAAGCCTCACAGTTGTAGTTGTGAGGTCGGAAGGCGTGGTGTCGAAAGAGAGAGAGAAACGAGAGGACGAAGCGCACTACTCCATGAGGAAGGTGGCTTTCGGTAGGTGGGAGACGCTGGGAGGGATTTCGAATTGACCACCCTGTATGTTAAGAAGAATCGAAGGAAGGGTGGTATTCTCAAGTTAGGCGAAGGTGTTTTTCGCAAGCTGGACGCAAATCTTGTCGCGAGATATGCTTCCACGCGCAGAGGACCTAGAAAGGGATGGAATGGAATGTACAATGTTGATCCAACCTCAAGGTCGTTCGGAGAGGGGGGAAATGGGTTTGTTGATTAATTAAAATTAAAGGTGTAAGGTACTGCAAGGTGAAAATGAGGGGGTAGGAAGGAGGAGGGGATTTGTAGAGGGATATATAATTAGGAAGCTAATTATTTGTTACTTAATACGTAGCCCTGAGTAGGGACTTGACTTGAAAGACTGGGGATTTAAATCCTGATGCCTCATTGTCGGCGTCAGCGCTTGTCCCCGTCATGTGTGGTACGGAAGAGGAAACATTCAATTTTAGCCTCCGCTTTTTAGCGTCATCGGAGCCCCGACTTCCCGAGCCTGTTTTATGCATTGCTTGCGTTTTACTCAGGAAAGTTAAACTGCGTATCATCAACCGATTCATGCGTATCGGGCGTATTACTAATTACTAATTGAGTCAAAAGCATCATTCCAATTGCATGTAATTGCATGTAATTGCATGAAAACATGGAAAGGACAGAAGGTAACTGGTTGAGCGTGACTACGGTGAATTAAATACATATACATCCTGTACCCCTGGACTACATAGTATTTGTTGTACTACAGAAGAAGGTAGTAGGTAAGGTATGTCGGAAAAATCATAGAGATAATCAAGCGACAGTCAAGCCACCACGAGCCACTCATCCGGAACGGAGATCAGCGCTCACTCGCCCACACACCACACATGCACGAAGGATGAAGGTAAGAATGAACCTGACCTGCAAATAGTCTCCAGCCACGGTTCACAACTCGCTTGCTTATTGAAGGCACTCGGGGAGACTACGTATGATAAAACAGAAAAAAAAATTAGGCATAACCAGACCAAGTTCCCCTGGGAGATATGATCTACTATCAGTCGCGACCTGGGAGCATGATGAAGGGTTATTATTGGTCCATCAGTCTCTGCTTGGTTCTAGAACAATCAGGACGGCATCCCCTATCGATGAAATTAAAGAGGCCATCTGCGGGCACTTCATTAGGCCTAGGTCAGGTATATCATACCAGACGGGCAATCGATGCGTGCCAATGGCGAGGGAGGAATCGAGAAAACACCCAGAGCGACGTCCAGCATCGGTGCCTAAAGAGCTTTAGTGCGGGCAACAAGACCAGGGCGGGGTCTGCCTCGGGTTAAAAGACCCGCTCGCTGGACAGGTACTGTACAACTGCCAGGCAGGTGTACTCGGCTACCAAAGAAATACGGTTGTGAACTTAAAGAGTACTAGGTAACGTGCATATCATGCCTAGCATGAGTACGGAGAACGGAGTGCTTCGTTTGTAGTTGTAGATAATCTTCAATTTGATTGGATTGATGCAAGGCGACCATTGGTTGTCATCGGGGTCGGTGCTTATAATCTCCGGTCTCCTCGATGACATGACAAAACCAGCCAACTGAACTTCGGGCTTGAAATCGATTCCGTTCCATGGATGGTATCTTAGCCTAAGTCCTATACACTCTAACGTACAAGACTTGTAAATATAGTTACACAGTGAATACTGACTAAACACCGCTTATCTCCGCTCCTTCAACCAACCATCAGGCGCTGGTAGCTTGCTTGGAGTGACTAAGTTATCGAGCAAATTACTACTTGTGAATTGGTCTGCAGTACGGATCAATCTTCATCGGAGGTCCGTGTTTAACAAAGGGAAAGACATGGGTGATTCCCAGAGCTGTTACTCCATTAGTATGCAGTATGCATCGAGTAACTTATCATGGACGTGTACAGAAAAACCATCGACTCTGTTTTGTCATGAGACAAAAGACCAGTGCACTCCGATGATGGTTGTTGTTGCATAAAAAGGCGGGAGGAGCTTGACCCGACCTACTATAAAGGGACCCCGATCCTTTTTGGGGCCTCGATAAGTGGAAGCAGGGAACGGAATTCCGACCGTTGCTTACTGCCCATCGTCCGTAGTTTTGCCTGGAACTGTCTCAGACTTGGGCCACTCGAGAGTTCGATGGCTCTTTGATAGGTACTCGGTCCTCTCAATGTCCACGGTGTTCAACCTACTTACTCCTTATGGCATAACAAGTTACAGAGTTGTTTAACTTCTCGTGTGAGTCATCGAGTATTGGATGAATCATAAGAAAGTCCCAACGTGGTACTCAATAATGCATCAAGGTTGACCTGATGACCCTCACCCAGGTGACGATACGATGACTCAATGCTGAACCTGAGTCAATTATGCGCTAGGTGCAGATAGCGCAGAGGATATTGAAACACCGTGAGAATATGTGCATGGGAACAGATAGCAAGAATGGTGCAGTATTGATCTGTTGATTTTGCTATGGCCCCTCGTAGTCATAGTACTAAGGTAGTTCACCTGTCTAATCGGATATTTGGCATTTGGCGGTCAGCGAAGGCCATGCGGGTATCCCCTCCGGGCAAATCCCGCCGGGTTACTATCAAGTTATTTGTGATCAGTCTCGACCATCGGCGCAAGATATAGAATACTTGCTCTTCAGGTGGAAGAAAGAGGGAAATAGAGCGAGACAGGATATTGATATAACAAGATGCCGAATTGAAAATGACTGAAGTGGACTAGCGATTCAGACCATACCAAGGACACGGTCAGTACACTGTACATCAGTTGATGGGGCAGATATGCTTGTTGCCTCAGGCGTGAATCACATGACTTACCCGAAGCGAAACGCTAAGCCCTGCCCGCACAAAAAAACTACCACTACGAACGGCGATTGAAGACGGTCGACAACCTCACTACCGCCAGTCCATACACTCAGCTCGCCGTCGCGACAAGCCTTCAAGATGCCGGTTAGCAGCCCCTATATGACATGAACGGATATCAAGATGGGATATTTTTCACGTCTTGCCATTTTGGCCAGACGGATATCAGCATGGAATCCGCTAGGATGAGGACCAAGAAGGCAGGCTAACGCTTTTATCTTTTTTCTCAATATAGAGCCACAAGAGTTTCCGCACCAAGCAGAAGCTTGCCAAAGCTCAGAAACAGAACCGTCCTATCCCCCAGTGGATTCGTCTCCGCACTGGTAACACCATCAGGTAAATAAAGAACCCTTGTTTTCACCACTATTCGATTCCCGTGTGACGCTTGCGACCCCTCGATGGCCTTCGATCGCCTGGCAAAATGGCAGAAGTTGGAATCAATACAACGGAACGAATTGGGAATCACTACCAAATGAACGACTACAACGGCCATTTTTTTACTTGCTGGAATTCCACGACACTCTTCCTTCGGGGGTCGGAATACTGTTTCCAAGCCGCACACACGGGCGATCAGATAATACTCGGGAATAGGGCAAATGGCTGACCTCGCTTTCTCTCTCTTTCCAGATACAACGCCAAGCGGAGGCACTGGCGCAAGACCCGTCTCGGTATCTAAACTCGATCAAGCCAACCAACCGACTTCATCGATTTCGCCCGAGATGTCTTTTCTTTATCCCTGGGAATGTTTCGTTCAGTTGTGATACCGCCAACTCTTGTGTGCCTCTCTTGCTCGCGATGATTAAATCTGCATCATCCTGATCTCGTCGACCCCGCCTGCTTTCTGATCCACACCCTTCATCTTCTCTCCTTCGGTTTTTGCTCCTGTTTCCCGGCAAGCATTTTTGATGTGACAAGCGAATATCGGTTCTCGAACTTCGAACGATATCTGGGACAGGTCTGGTTGAGGTGCAAGCAGTCGTTCTCGACTGGTTCTGTGATACGGTTATGAAATCATGCAATTTAATTACACGAGCTGAGAAAAACAAAAATCGAAAACTTATGAAGGATAACGAGCACTGAACGAAGGTTTATTTTTCTTCCGGGGTCTCTTCTTTGCTCCAACTTGAACGCGGGCTACCTGGGGCGACAAATCTGCCCAAACAAGAGATTCGCTCACCTTATCTATGCCGAGGTAGCTTTTGTTTCAAGTTGTGGATTGATCTCGTAGGAAGTTATCTATCGCTGCTAGTATGGCCACTCAAAATGCTGCCTTCGTATTTCTTTCCACCCGCAAGCATACAATCATGTCCCTACGGACGCAACCCTGGGGTCTTCAATCGGGTGAAATATGGTCCACCAAGACCCGGAGTATCTTCTTCACACAGCACGGTTAGTCAAATCTCGTATAGAAGAGCGAATTCATTTAAATTTAAATTCAAGGACTTGAAAATCATAGTAAAGTTTGTATTTCAGCTACTTGATTAAGATATATCCCACTGTTGCCTCTAGACAATGGTCCAGGACCAGTAGGACAAAAAGGAAACAAAAACAACCATGCGCTGACATGAAAAAGCGAGAACCGAACGCCGGGAACTGCAGCAACTGGAGAGCATATAAGGTGTATCAGGCCAAAACATCGTTGAGGATGCTTATCTTCACGGAGACCACATTTCCCATAGCGAGCCTGCGATCCTTAGAAGATATGCAGCGCCGCTGACCAGTGACACCAATTTAGCGACTGCAAAGCAACCGGTTAGCATACGTCTCTTCTGTTGTTACAGCACCCGGTCGGAGTTCATGATGCACTTACTCTTCAGCCCACTCGTTCTCCCGGCGGATCTGGTCCTCCTCCTCAGGAGTGAAATCATTCTGAATGTTGAAAGTCTTGCGAATCTCTTCGGGAGACTTGCCCTTGATCATGTTGGCGACGGTCTTGCAGCCAACATCCAGCAGACCCTTGATATCGAGGTAGTTCGCGGCCAAGATAATTTCGAACAGCATCTCTTGATCGACCTGCATGAACTTCTGATCCCACTCATCGATGTCAGTGGTCTTACGGCGCGAGTCGTCGTCGTCACCGGTGCTGGGGGGGTCGCCCTTGTGGTGCTCGCACCATTCAATGACCTTCCTCAGGACAGCTTCATTGACCTACGGAGCCGAATGTTAGTTTTGTTTGATGGTGGGAATAGGTGGGGATGGGGGGTAGGAATAACATACATTGGGGATAGGGATGGCTTCATCCGTATCACCAAGATCCTCGAGCATGTTCTTAATCAGAACAGAGCGTTCGGCAACATCGCGGGCTGAAGTAGGCAGCATAAGTCAGACTTCAAATCCAGCAGGAAAATATTAAGGCGACAGGGAAGTGGGGAGCGTGTACTAACCGATAGTGATCTCAACCCCATCGTTGCTCTGGAAAGTGAGCATCGTTGCAGACATTTTGAGGATCTGTTGAAGGGTATTCGCGGGGCTAGAATGAATAAGTATATGTTAGGATATGTTACTCGTCAAGCGCAAGGATAGAAACCTGCTCTGAGGGGTACCTCAAGTGGGGGTTCGTTGCTGCTTACAATCCGGAATTGTTTTTGAGGTGAGGGTGAGTCTCGGATAGAAGCTGGAGGAAACAGAGGTGGGAAGTCGAGGGTATAAATAGACGACAGGGGCTTCGTGGTAAGTGAAGGCAGGAAACGTTGAAATTTAGTACGTCAAAGTGAGTTGTGTAGGAGGAGGAGAAGCCCGAACTGGAGATCAAAGGGACCGACGTTGTGAAAGGGAAGGGCAGATGGCTGACTGAGGCTGATGACTGGTCCTAGTTTGAGGGGGCGGGAAATCTCCGTCATCATTTGCTGCTGTGACGCCCCACTTGCGCGGTTGCCGCCTGTGGCTGCCTGGCGGATGCCTTGATTATGCTATCTGCTTTGTGCCTTTATGCCTTAGTGCTTCAGTGCCTGAATGCCTGGGTGCCTGGGTGAGGCAATTGTACAAACTTTCACAGAAGAACACCGTCAAATCAACAAACAAGATCCTGAATGCATTGTGCCTCGTGGTTTTATCAAGAGAATGTCATAGCATACAACACTTGTACACTTGGTCCTCATCGATGCTTCAAGGATTCGTTCTTTATTCAATGCCAGTGGCCCCTGTTCCATTCAACAACTCTGGGTGTTAGTGGGAATCTTTCCACAGAGAGTACTTTACTTACCGTACAGTACTGTACGCCCTCAACCGATCAAGAAGAAAGCGATTCATCTCATTTGAACCAAGACAAACGTCTCTCAAAGGACTAGAGCATACGGAGTACTGTGCCTACAACTCAATCACTCCCTCCCTCTTGTCGGATCGAAGCCCTACACAGCCATTGATTTCTTTGAACAAAATCAATCATACTGAACCAAATCTGACTGCAACGGGATGAATACTAGAGGGTGTCAGAGAACAATCCAATCTATGTCGCAGTAGGTCCGAATCGATGCATCCCCTACTCCGTACAGTGGACAGTCAACCAGGATATTCCATACATCTCCCTCTCCGTAGCGAGAGTTCAGCTAGCTACCAAGCTCTCTCGTTTGCCCCACCTCCAGCATTGTTGCTCTACGCGCAGGGAACTCCTTTCGCCCCCAAAACGAAGAGGGTAATGTTGTATTTAGTCCTCGTCGCTCAAAGATATCACCCAACAACGCGTCGCCGGTTATCCGCCCGTCAAACCCGATCCTCTGCCCTACACTCCCTGACCGGAATCTTATCTTATTAACTCTCCTTCCTCTTGTCTCCCTCCTTCCTTCGTTTCGCGCTTATGCCTAAGACCGTCGTTCCTTGATCTGTTCTTCTGTTCCTTTATCTCATTCTTCAGGTGCCTGAACTCCCCGAAGGCATGTACCATACTTTCCGCCGGACTTGACCTTCGTTACCTTCTAAATCTCCCGCACATCCTACAGAGTCATGTGGTGGCGGCGAACATATTTGTTGCTGCTGGTAATCCGGGTATATTTTGCGCTGTCACCAAGCTATCTACACCCAGATGAAAACTTCCAAGGTCCTGAGGTCTTTGCAGGTATGTTTCTAGCATATTAGCAACCGGATCCGCCGGCTCCCCAACGCTCACAAATGCCGTACCTGCGATACGGTTTCACCAATAATTCGCTACTCCTTCGGCCGCATACACTTACCAGTTACTACACAGGTCGGATTCTCGCCTATCCATCTCAATTACCTTGGGAATTCACTGCCGATAAGCCGATCCGCAGCGTCTTCCCACTATGGCCTATCTACGAGGTGCCAATGAACTTTCTGAAATGGTTCTATACGGAAACTGGAACCCAGACCCCTCCTCCACAGCTAGTATACTACGTGCTGCGCGGGGTCATGTTTCTACTTAGCTTTGTCTTAGAAGACTGGGCTGTATATGAGCTGGTGCCCTTGCCGCGCCACCGCCGCGCGACGGTGGTGCTGGTGGCATCTTCGTATGTCACCTGGACATATCAGACGCACACCTTCTCAAATTCACTCGAGACCCTCTTGGTGACCTGGAGTTTAGTTTTGATTCGTCGCATTGCTGAAAATAAGGTTGGCACATCCAGTTGAGCTGAAATCATAGAAAAACTCCGTGGCTAAGTTTGTTGACAGCGACATTCCTCCCTTTTTTCTTGCGCTGTGTTGTCGTTGATCGCAATCATCGGTGTATTCAACAGAATCACCTTTCCTGCCTTTGTGATCGCTCCAGGGCTCTATCTCCTCCCTCATCTTTGGCGCAGGTAAGTTTATATGCCTCATACTACAACTTGTAGGTTCACAATGTTGACCGTCAATGATAGGCCTTCATCTTTCCTTTCGATAGTTGGTTTTGGCCTAGGCTTTTTCTGCCTCGCTGTCTTGGTTGATACGAAGTTCTACAGCTCACCTGCGACTTTCTGGGAAGCCCTTCACAGTCCCGTCATTACCCCGATCAACAATTTGCTTTATAACTCCGACAAGTCTAATCTAGCGCTTCATGGACTCCACCCTCGATACCACCACTTCCTAGTGAATCTACCACAACTACTAGGCCCGGCATATATAGCCATGATCTTGTCACTATTCAACTTCTCGGCCGTTCCATTCTGGCTTAGGGATATGCGCGCAATCTCAGCCATCTCAGCAACTGCCATACTTTCAATATTCCCTCACCAAGAACCCAGATTCCTGCTTCCTTGTGTCCCCCTTCTCCTCAGTTGTTTGCGCATACGCAACACCCGGAATTCTCGGTGGTTCTTAGCCGCCTGGGCCATCTTCAATGCTATCCTAGGGTTCCTCATGGGAGTATACCATCAAGGAGGAGTTGTGCCTACACAGCTCGCGATGCCGTCTATCATCTCAGAAAGCGTACGTGGGTCAAGTCTTGGCTCGCTCAATTCTCAGCTCGAAACAGATGCCACCGTGCTCTGGTGGAAAACGTATTCTCCCCCACGTTGGCTTCTGGGAAATGACACCACCCTTCCAGTAGAAATCCGAACTCGAGACTTGATGGGAATGCCAGGATCAGAAGTGGTTGAAGAACTCGACAAACTGGTACCCTCATGCTACGAGAAGGAGAAAGCTGAGAGCCAAGGCGTGTCTTCACCCTTGGTGTTCATGGTTGCTCCCAAGTCTGCTACATTTTTAGACCAATATGTTGCACCTTTGGCCTCATCATCCGACCCGTCGGATCTGGAGCTGCATGAGCTGTGGCACTGGAGCAATCACCTGAATTTAGATGATCTCGACTTTGGCGACGACGGCATCCTGCCGACACTCCAACGAGTGATTGGGAGAAGAGGACTGGCTGTGTGGGGAGCACGGAGAGCTAGATGTGCTTGACTCAAGTCCTGACCACATCAGCTGACACCGATCACCTGGTGCTGGAAGCGATGGTTGTCACAGGTTTGACATCGGCTTACCTCATCGAATCTAAGTTCACCAGCTTAACCATTCTTGCTCTTTTGATACTCTCATTACCTTGCTTATCTCTCCCCCCCCCCCCCCCTCTCTCATATCTTCACATGCCAACCTCATAGCGTGCTGTCTCTTCGGTCTCCACCATCATCTTGTCTATTCATATCATTCGCCTCTATCTCACTACCTTCACCACATACACTGCCTGGGACCCATATGGAACATGTGAGGTAAACATCTTGCGATACAATATACCCTTCTTTTCCCCTTCCAAATATCATACATATATACCCAGTCTATTTTCTCTTCTCAGTCTATCCGCCGGCGGCTCCTACAAGGTCCACCATTCACGACCTAGTCCCTTGGAGTCAATCCTGCAAATACGTTGTTGAGCTCAAGTCGCATTGCTTGACAACCAGCTCAGAAAGTATCCCGTCCATTTCTGTATACTCGCTGTGTGTACCATCTTTCCCGCGGTACACTGAGCTCGTGGAGTCACACGGGCAGTACCGAAAGGGGGTTGGTGGCCCCCCATCGAGTCACGCTCGCACCACCTCCCTTTCCAGCGTCGAAACTTTCAAATCGATCCAATCAGAAGAGCTATCGACGAACCTGACGTAGATCACCAACCCTACTTACATGCCGTGGAAACAAGTTCTCGTGATTCTAGGACAAAGGCTTCATGCTTCTGAACTTTCCGATTGGATACTGAGTACAGGACCAGGACTTCACGGTTTGTTAATGTGGGCCAATGAAGAGTGGCAGAGAAGATGTATAAGCTTGAGTACGAGCTCCTAAATAGAAGCACGGAATAATACAAAGACATGCCCAGTGGAGGCGGAGAAGATAAAGACAAGAAGAGAAGATGTTACGAGGCATCGGTCGGCTAGGAGGCTTGCACGGGACGGTACGAGCTGCCGGGGAGACTTGGGCTTGACCGCGATCTATTCTACATAGTCGCCCTTGTGAGAGATTATTGCAAGAGTATGATAACAGGGACACATCACGACGTTCATTATGAGAGAAGATGAGAGATCAATAGGGAAGAGCATCATCCAGTGATAGGGTGTTCAGCTAGATGGAAACATAAAAATAGGAGTGGAATCATAGATCATCAGGGTCGTCCGGGTTCTCGAACAGATAATTAGCAGCGAGCTCTTCGTTCTTGTCGCAAGCGAAGTAGGCCTGGATGACGAGATCCCGAGAAAATCCAAGTCGGCATAGCTGGTAATAAGGTTAGCGGCATTCCTAGTCTTCAAATTGCTCCTCATCAAAGAACATGAGAAAATACATACGCGTTCGATGGCGTCCCGTTCTTCTTCTGTGACATGGATCTGATGCGTGCCGGGGGGGAGAGCCGCGTCATCCTCCTCGCTCAACAATTGGAGAAACTGCTCCTCGTTCTGTCCAATGAGCTGCGCAATTTGAGGATTGCCAGTAGCAACTTGTTGCAGGATAGGCTCGAGCATCTGCGGTTGTTGCTGGACAAGCTGACGAAGTTGCTGGAAGTGAGGGTTGTTCCGGAGGAAATCGAGGCTGGGAAGACCTTCGCCAGACCCAGCTCCCGGGCGGGCACCTCGAGTGCCGCCTTCCTGACCTCCCGCCTGAGCGGCAGCTTCGAACAGGTTAACATGTTCGTCACTAATCGGGGCCGGGGCACTTTCTTCTGCAGGAGACGCGGGTGTTTGGGGTGCGCTTGCGGCGGCGGCTTGCTGCTGTTGCTCCTCCTGGATGTTATCCGGAATGCCCTGAAGACATGTCAGCGGATTGTGGAGAAAGCCAGAAGGCTCTGGGACGACCTATAGACTCACGTTCAGGAGGTACTCAATGGCGCGATCAGGGTTGAAGAAGGCAGCCCTCATTGCACGGTTGATATCGCTTCTTGGGAATCCCATACTTTCCATCTGAGCGATCACTGCCTCGCTTTGGGCGCCACGCAGCAGAGCCGAGGGATCGTTGAAGGCGGGACCGGCGGGCTGAGATGTTCCCGAGGCGGCGGGAGAAGGAGTTGCGGGAGCTGCCGGTGAAGCAGTAGATGCCGACGGGGCAGGGGCAGCAGGGGCAGCAGGGGCAGCGGGCGTCGAAGCAGCTACTCTTGCAGGGGTGGAGGGGGCTTGTGTAGAAGCGCCGGAGGCAGAAGGCTTGGGCTAAATGAAGCGCCAAGATTAGCTTGCTAGGAGGATAGAGATTGCCATGTACGATAAGCCATACCTTGGACACCATGCACACTATAAAACCTTTCTCCTCAATGCTGTACGACTCGATGGTCTTGTCATCTTGAAGGATCTTTCCTATTGTGGCAAAATCTGTCAGCTACACATGTCGGGCGTGTCGTCAGAGGATCGGAGCACGAAGCCGTCGTTCCCAGCAACAATTTCTGCCAAGCATCGTCGGACACTGATGACTGACCTGAATAGATGAGCTTCAACTGGGCAACCTCCCATCCTTTCTCCTGGGAGATTTTTCCCTTCACTTCTCCGACCTAGAAGAGAAAGAGGTTTAGCCCCGCACCAACCTTCACAGGCTTCCATGATTTGAAGCAGGGAACAACCTACCGTCTCCGAGGGTTCGGCATCGATTACAAACTTTTGTTGTTTGAGGTCCTGAAGAGGAGATGCAGGTCAGATTGAAAGTAGAACGATAATGGTGGAGCAAAGAACAGGTACATACCTTGAACGTGAGCTTCATCTTGCGCCACCGAAGGTTGAGAGATGGCTCGACAACGTGGGCGGAGGGGTTATGAGAGAATTGACACTTGAAGGACGGGAGGGGGCGTAGTGGGGAGGGGCGACAGAGGGTTGCAGGACTTAAAGCCTGATAATAGATTGAACAAAAGAATGGTAGTAAGATTTAAGGATCCTGAGTAGAGAAGGAGATGAGGTAGAGGATGAAAAACCTGCGACAGAAGCAAGGAAGAAGAAGAAGACGAGGATGAGGATGATTGATGACGAAGACGGATCATGAATGGCACCGAAAGAGGGAGAAGGAAGCCCAGAAGGTGGAGGGAGCTGGGAATCCATGATCGGAGGCGGTCAGCACTCGCCGGTACTACCCAGTACTCAGTAGGTAAGTTACCACCGCCACACTGTTCCCCCCCTCATCCGCCGGCTATGAGTAATCCAAGTGAGTGCCTCAGCCACAGTTCCAACTTCCCTTTTCTGCTCCTATGTAACTAGTTAGTCCGTATGAGTGACTCAAGTCAACTTACTCATACTACTGACCAGAGTGCATACACATCTATTGAAAAAGGCGACAAGAACTAAAGATGAACTTTCAAATGGGGGTGTATCAGCTTGTGATTGAAGAACGAAAAGTCCATCCACTAGTACGGAGTATATATTTCTTGATTCCCACTCACCAAACAGCTCTTTACCCGACTAGAACTACAGATAAGATTTCATTCTCATCCATAAGCTATTTCTACCTGTACACGAGGACGAAGAAAGAAAAAGAGAAACGAACAAATAGATAACAATAAACAAACTGGTCTTGCCTATCCCGAGCGAGACTCTCTTAATACCTCATACCAACCTTGAGACAAGGAACCCTTCCCTTCATTCAAGCCAAGTGAATCTTCTTTCTTCCACTTCCCAATGTCCACCAACCAACCTACCAACCAAGCTGCTAGCCGGCACGCCCCGTCCCGATCACACCTGCAGCTGAACATAATGGTGTTTCTTGTTGTTCACACAGTGTTTCGTCTGTCCTCCGTACACTCACTTTCATTGAGACCAGTGGCGTTGTCCCGTGGCGAGGAAGGCAGCCCTATAGATCTATCGCATGGATGTATCACACCACGGCTGCAGTTGCCGGGAAGAGGGGAAAGAAGACGAGGGGAAAAAAAAAAAAAAAAAAAAAAAAAAGAAGAAAATACGGACGCCTCGAAAATGATATTGGAGAAGCCAACTCATACCATTAAGCCTATTCAAATTCACATTTCATCTCTTACCCGGTGGGATTGCTTACCACTTGACTCTCTGCTCCAGGTATCTCGGTTTCCATGCACTGATGCTATAACGATAAACGCATCATGGATGAAACGCACCGCCACCCACTTTTTGTTCTCACCTCGGACGCAAAGAGTTCGCTCGTCAGAAAGTGGATGATATGTCATATCTCTAGTCTGCAGCACCAGCGCTAATATTGCGCCCCTCCGTATCCCTTCCTGGAGCCCAGATGGTCGATCCTTCCATTAAAGCCTTTCCCGGAACTCTGGAAATCATCCCGGCCGCCTTGTACAGGACGCCACTGAATCTTGACAAATCCATTCTAGACCTGTTCCACGCGGCTAAGATACCTCAAGGCTGCACTCATCCAGTGCTGTAGCCAGCCATGATAGGGACATCTGGGAGGGAGGTATCCACGCATCTCAGGTTGAGAACCAACCTTGTCGTCATGAGCATGCCATCTCGGCCTAGGACCCAAACGATTGATCTCAGCATGGCATGGCTGTATCAGATGTTGGATGAAGAACTCTTCATAGGAGCATGCACGACTTCCCGGGTTCCCTTTGGTCTTTGGCCCCTCTTCGCTGCTTCAATGCCCGAGCTGAAAAAAAAAGGGCCTCAGAGGCAGAAGGCATGACAGCTGGCGAGACTTGCCCTCCACCCCCAACTTCGATCGGGATCACAGTTGGACCCGTGGAATTGGCATCTACCTCTTCGGCATCATCGCTGCCAGCCCCTAGTTCGACCTACTAGTGGTAGTACCTATGATCGAGACCATTCGGTATGAACGTCGACCATTATCCGATGTAGTCCTCCTTCTGCAACCCCCCCCTGTCCCGCTGATCCCTAGGCGTTGCATACGTGACTCTTCTTCGAAAAGTCCATGCATCTGGAATCAATTATCCTCGGGGTCCGACTTTTTCCCAATGCCTTCCTTCTTTAGTTAATTGATTGTTTGCGATCATTCCCGGTTGCTGGGAATTTCCTCCGGTTCGACCCTTGTCTGCCACACCTTGTCCCTCGTTTACCATTTATCAAGTTGATATTGTTATTATTATTATAATTACCATTATCGTTATCATTGCCAACTACGGAGTAGTCACGCTCACGATATTAGCCACCTCATTCCTTTTCATATCGAAGTTTCACCATCTTCTTCTCTTTTGGTTGCTTCCTCTGTCTTGGAAGTACCCTTCGTCTTTCCCTGATCATCTGCCAAATCTACCCAGCCTAGAACGACACCATAGCGGTCTTCAGTATCATGAGAGAAGTCTTGAGCGGGTTATGATCTATTGAGTCGCGACCAGTAACTGCCCCTTTCTGTTCCCAGCAATTGTTCGGGTGGCCTTGCTACCTCCTTCGGGCTATAGCCTTGATCGTGTGGAAATCATCACACACGCACACACAACTCTCAGTCTCGATCTTTTGTCCGTGCAGACCCAATTTCGATCTCATGTTGCTGAGCATCTTCAGGACTTCTCTGGCCCATATTCTGGGAGGCTTCACCCTTTTATCAACGTTCATCGCCACTGTCTTGGATGGTATCTGCTACAGTTTCTCCAAATCTTTATCATCGCACATTGCCTCGGTCGAATCAGCGATTGTGAGCTTGAGTGCAATCGACTGTGCAGTGATCACTGCCTTGTTATTTCTTTGGGTCAAGGATGTCCGAGCAGAAGTGAGGGCGCAGTGGAGGGGTCACCCGGCTATCCTCTACGGTCTGATCGCCGTCTACCTCTCTATTGCCACCGGTATCACGGCAGGAGGAATCGCCTGGAGTGCAGTCCAGTCCATGACAGGGAAAACAACTATGACTCACAAGCACCAGACCCTCATGCTAGCCCGCTGTATCATCTGGGCTATCTCCGTTTTGAGCCAAGGAATCCTGGGTGGCTATCTCCTAACCTCACTGACAAAACGTGAAGCTGGTGGTCGATGGTCAAGGTCCCTTTCTCAGGAGCTTGAGATTCTTCCCGACCGAGCCAGTGTTGGGGACAAGGATGACGTGGTGAAGTCTCCGTCAATCATCCTTGAGTCCCCACGGCCTTCCACTGAGGTGAAAAGAAGCTGCGACATTGTGCCGGAGCTTCAGCCTTCTGCTTCCCGCACAGATTCACAGAATTCGAATCGTTATTCCGGTCGGACGCTGTACCAACAGGACTCCAAGCAGAGCTCTTTCGACTTGCAGCGAACTCATATGGCGGTTACTGAGACTACGGTGACTCGTTCCCGAACAGATGACCAGCCTGGTAACCCGACTGTCAACCCTTCTAGCATGGAAGAACGGAGCGACCCCCCTAAGATCCGACGAAGCTACTCCGGGGCCAAAAGATCTTTCGAAGGCTTAATCCGTCAGTCCTCGTCAACTCGATCGTCGCCTGCCACATCTTCCACGCATTTAGCAGCTCCTGCGACTCCTGGTCGGCCTATTCCTCCGAAGCTGAAGCTCACCGACGAAAGCTTTATCCATCCATTGTTCCGGTCGGATAGTGCATCGCCTCCCCCAACTCCGATGCCAGGAACCACTGTAATCGCCTCACCGGCCGCTGGGCAGACCATCTCGGTGCAGACTTTGAATCGAGTGAGATCGACCCGGTCTCTCCGGTCCCACGTACCCCGAAGTCGGTCACCTTTATTTGAGCAAGTGGACCAGCCGCTTGTCGAGCTGGAGCGGAAGTCTGAGTCTTTAGAACGCAGTGGTCGGGAGTCTCCCATGCCCAGCTTCATCATGGCAGCGGATGTGCGAAGCAGTATCACCCGGTACGAGAAAAGATATGACTTGAATGAATCTCCTGACGAGAGCTAGTCAGGCGCGTTCCTGAAGGTCACAAGGAATTAGGATCTGGGTCTGGATGCCTTTCACTTGGTGTTATCATTGTTCTCTTTTGTTAGATATCCTAAATATAGCGTTTGATGTACTTAGCAATCCATATATATATATATATATATATATATAGTGCATGTAAAGCAGCATGAGTTCTGTGAATTAGAGTCTGAGGATGGATGAAGCAAAGGCTCGGAGCAGGCCAGCAGAAAATTAAGGTAAATTAGCGACCGGTAGAAGGATATCGATATCAGATTCCAGGGCACAGTTCGAGGAGCCACATGATAAACATGAGTGTCTCGAGTGGCAGTAGCAGTGTGTGTATACATACATACGTCTAGGCATGGAAGGGCCCTGGAGAGGCGAAGACGGGATATCAATTAGACTTGATTGGGATTACAAGGGATTGAGGGAGAGAGAGGCACGCCTTAACCTCCCCCAACGGATTGTCGATGATTGGTTTGGATTGTGGCCAGAAATCTATTTCCAGGGGACTATTGCGAGAGGAAGGGTTTCGCTCAATTTACCCTAGTATCCTGAATTCTAGTCTTGTAAGTTAAGGGTTGGGTTGAGGGGGTAAACAGAATTAAGTTATCATGGGGAAGGAGGAGAGAGGAAATGGCTCCCGAGTCCCTAAAAACCCAACTAACTGACTGCGTCTCCCGAGTCTAGTCTTTTTTTCCTCCGAGTGAGTGAGAGTACTCAGTCCGTACCTTACCTACTTCTCTACTTAACTTGGCAGCTGCAAACATTTAACCTCAGCTTGTCTGTCTATTACTAGGTACTGTACTAGGCAGGTAGTAACTTATCTGTCTGCGTCTTACCTCAGTTACAGGGCCAGTGCTTGTTTGTATCCTGGTGCAATTGGCCTGCATCTTTTCCCTTTTTCCTTTTCCCTCATTCCTCTTTCCATCATCATCATCATCATCATCTTCTTCTTCTTCCTCTTCATCGTCCTCTTCTGCTGCTCCACCCTCCACCTCCTTCTTGTGCTCTGCCTTGCTAGACCATTTCTTTTTCTTTCTTTTTCTTTGCCAATTTTTCTCCTTGGCCTCCCCCCCCCCCCCCTCCCTTCTTTTCTCTCGTACTTACCACCGTGTTGGAAGTGGCTTATCTTCTCCTTCTCCTTCTCCTCCATTTCTTGACTTCGAACTCTCTGCTAAGTGATCTTTCCGCTTGCTTGGCTTCTGGAGATCATCCATGAAGTGTCTTCTGGCATTGCGGGAAGCCTAAGGAGATTTTCATACTACAGTACATACTAGCCAACCTTTTCCTCTCGGGTGACGCTATTGACTCCAGGCCTCGCTCGCCGACTTTCAACCTGCATGGAGACGAGTAAAATCTCCTACGATCGGAATCTGTCGATCTCCACGTTCTCTTGAGGGGTTCTGGCTGCTACTGGGTACGGGAGGAGTGGCTAGTTGATCAGAGGGTCTATATCCGGCGAGTTTGTTCTACCCTCCAGCACAGTACAGGCCTTGCAGCGGGCCAACCAAGCGCCGCAGTTGGACGCCCATCGATCCACTTGGCCGAACCTCTTTTTACTTCCCTGATCCTCAACTCACATCAATTGATTCAATCATCATCATCTCCATCTCCATCTCCATCTCCATCTCCATCTCCATCTCCATCTCCCCCCTTCCCCCCTTCCCCCTCTCCCGATCTCCGTCGCTGTCGCAAATTCCGTTGACTTTTCTTTTTCTTTTCGACTCCGGGGTAAGTTACAAAAAACTTTCTTTTGACCCTGACTTCGATTTGTCGCATTGAACCTCTCGTTCTGCATTGAGTTCCAAGTTGCCTTACACTCCTTCCATTCTCAGTCTCATTCACATTTCCATTCCCATTACCACTACCTACTCTTGTCCCAGTCCGTTTTGTCGCCTTCTTCCACGTATCTGCCACCGTCACGATCAACTACCCTCAATTGCAGTGCATTGTTCTTCCTCTTCAATCAATGGCTGGTGTTGTAAAGCCCTTCAGCCTCTCCCTTCGGACATAGACTTTCTGGCATTGCTCCATGGATCGTCCGCGTCTCCCTTCCTTTCCCGATCGCTTCGTTCAATCCATACTACTGAGTGTACAATACTCCATGCATCTATTCACTTCCATCCATGCCCGGTTTGCTTGCTGAGGACCTCGTACCGTGTTGTTGCCGGCTGGAATAACTGTTCGTCTTCTGTGTATGTCTTGTTCCTGGCATTGACTTCCTCCAAACTTTCCACAACTGACACATTCTCCCCTCCCCCTCCCCCCTCCGGCCAATGCACTATTGCTTTGCTGTATCTCGTCCTGTCCTTGAATTTCTTTCCCGCTATCTTTTTCCTGGTTCCATTTTTGTCCTCTTCTTCCGTCTCCACCATCGCCATCACACTCACCTTGCAGTGTTTCCTGCACATTTCTTTCTCATATCATCATCAACCTTCTCTCTTCGTCATGGCGGATGTCCCATGAAATGTTCACCATCGTAATTTCACCATCACTGCTCTTCAGTCTCCTTCTCAAGCAACTTGAGTATTCGCTTTACTCTGACATCCCTATACTTCATCCTTGCTTGTTTCCTCTACTCCTGGACGAGTCATGTCTCATCATTGTGATTTGGTTTTCCTTTCGATTCTCTTCGACCGCCTACTAACATATTCCTTGGTGAAGGACAGCGATGGCGGGAGTTAAGCGGAAAATTGACGCCTCCCAAGGGTCTGCTGCAGCGGTATCAGGTGCTAATTCTACAACATTTGGTGCCGCACACAGCACTACTAGTAAGTCTACAATTGCATGCTACCCAACAGCGCTTCTAACCCGACCCACAGATTCTACCGCTGACGATGCATCTCACGTCCGCGTAACTCGAAGCTTGCGTTCAAGTCGAGATGTGCGTGCTACTCAAAATGATGCTCGTAATCACAGCAACGCTTCTGCCATGAGCGGAAGCAGCAGCAGCGACACCAACAGCAGTCACAGCAACAGCAACAACACTTATAAGCCTAATCCTAATCGCCCATCGCGTATCATCACTCTTAGCACTCGTGTCGCTCGGGCAAACACTGCAGCTCGTGAACGCGAACAAGCAGCACGGGACCAAGCCCTTCGCGAGAACGTAAGTCGTGAAACGCGTAACACTCGGACTCGTGCCAGTGCTTCGTTGCCTTCACAGCCAGCGGAAGGCGTAGTGGCACCTGTGCCTGAAACCCCACGGCATAAACGCGTGAAACGGGGGCCCACGATGGAAGAGACACCGAGAACCACGCGGCAATCGGCGCGGCTCAAAGCACATGTTCCATCCATCTCGACAGAGGATGGAATTGCTGATATAGGTCTGATACCGAAGCCTTCTGAATCAAGCCCTTTAGCAGCCGCTGCTCCAAGTAGCCGTACTCGGAACAAGAGTCGGCAATTCGCAGACAGTTCCAATGAGACCATTCACAGTGGTACAACCAATTTTATCGCTCCTGCAATCCCTGAGGCTGAATCACCCTCACCCGACCGGACGATCCTCAACCTTGTGGAAGATACGAAGCCTCTCCACGAGGAGCCTCACTTGAGCCCGAAGCTGGCTATTGAGGAATCTCCCAAGGGTACGGTGGTCGAGGACGAGAAGAACGGGATTAGCGAACCAGCACTTTCTGAAGCTGATGATTCAGTCGATGCTCCAAGCACCCCTAGTCCTCCATCGTCCTGGAAGCGAACATCACCTGGACTTCTACAGCATAATGGAGCTGATTCCGAGACCTTTCTCGAGTCACCCAGCAAAAAACCTAAGCTGGAAGAGGGCGAATCTGATCGTGTTTTGGAGCAGCAGTCACGGCCCGTTATCAATGGCCTCAACGGCAGGCCTCAATCAGAGTCTCATGTGGAGGCTATAACTGACTCGAAAGCCAATGGTCAGTCCCGGCATATCACAGAGGAAATTGAGGGCTCGACACCAGAGATTGTTACGGAGCCTACAGCTACTCGAGGTTTCCGCGGTGGGCGGGTTCGGGGCCGAGGGCGAGGGGGCCGCAGCAGGGGCGCCGCGCGCTTTGCAGCTAACAAACGAGGACGAGGTGGTACTCGTAGTGGCCGCGGACGTGCTGGCCGACAGCTTGACAGGTCAAGTGATGTCGAGCCTGACCGCTCTCCTTCTCCTAGTGCAGCAACTCAGAGACTCCGTGATCGACAGCGTGAGCTGGATAAGGCATTCAAGAAAGTGGCTGCCGCTCAGCGATTGGCTCTGGCAGTGCTGGCGACGCAGTCTGAGAGAAGAATCGCCCGAGACAAGAATGCACACAAGGATGTGCCCGAATTTGAGGAAGTTAACCGACAACTACAGGAGCGGTTGCGGCAGAAGAAGGACGTACTCCGCAGAGAATTCGAACTGAAAGCGGAGCAAGAAAATCGGTTGTTCCAAGCCTATAGAGAAGTAGTCGAGGAGCGATTCCAGGTAGGTCTCATATGCTAAAGCATCCAACCAGCATTCAAGGGAAGCCTGCTAATTACAGCAGGCATCCGCTCGCAATATCCGGGAGGAGCATTTGATCGCAAGTCAGGGAGCATACATGACATTTGTAAGAGGCCGACGTGCCGCGGAAGATGATGAGCACACAGAGGTAGGTGGCCTTTATGGTTCTGACACACTCCGTCAAAATGTCTATGCATTAATATGTGATATATGCTGATCAACCCCTACAGACGGACGATTCAGAAACCGAGCCCGAGCGGGGGCCAGTTGTGCCACCTGCGCGGGAAGTTTTCAGAGGGTTCAATTCTTCTTACGTTCGGATTCCCTCCGGCGCTGCTGCCTACGAACGGGCCTGGCTTGGCTGGGACGATTTCGTCCAGCGAGCTAAAGTAGGCGAAGACATCGACCCGCAAATGAAGGAAATGTGTGAATCAGGGCCTTTCTCTGGCTTCACTTCGGATGAGATCATCGACATGCTTGTGAAGGCGACTGGGGTAGTGGATGTACGAACAAACGCAACAACGGCAGGGGAGATGCAGCCCCCGGTTATACACGATGTACGCCCTCGAGCATTATCGGCCTTGGCGGATATCGCAGCCGCCGAAACACCTCGACCCCCTATTGCGGCTGTTCCCCGATTCCCGCCTGCTCCCCCCCATCGA